TATTTTTAACAGTATTTTACTGTAAAATCACATTAAATGTAATTACATGTATTCACCGTATATAGTATGGAAACTTACTGTTAACCAGTTACCAGGTTTTTACTGTAGCATTTTTACAGTCTTTTACTGTTAAAATCACAATAGTTGTTTCCAGTGTGTGTCAGCAGAGCGGTGCAGGGTTGAGCCGGAGGGACAGACTCGTGAGGAGCCAGTAGGAAGTGTGGTGCTGGTTAATGTGCAATCTGTCTGGGAGGGGAAGCTCTGTTTGCAAATGAGTTCTCTAATGTTTCATCCTGTTCCTTTGCGCTCGTGTTGTAGCTCACAGGAACGAGCCTCTCTTAGAAACCCTGTCCTTTAAGCAATGGTCTCGGTCTAACTTTGGAAAACCCTCTGGCAGCTACAGTTGGACATCTGAGGAAGTTTCACATAAGTTTCGGAATGGTAAGTACACTAGAAAGCCTGCGCTGTTTGTTAGTTAAATGTTTATTTAAATGCTTGTTTGTTCAAGGCTTTGACCTGCCTGTTGAGGCGATGTGTGCGTTCAAACGAACATTGTTACATATGTAGTCATTAAAGATTAAAGATGATAAACCAGCACATGAAACTCAATGTGTCCGTGTTTTATGGTGGTTAACAGAATATGACGCCATTATCTGTTGAAGCTGACTTCATCTTTGGACTCATCTGAATATGATTGTCACGTGAGGGAAATAATGCCAATAATGATATCCTGTCTAATTCAAAATATTATTCTGCCTTCTTTTACTGGCAGTACGATACAGTACCATGCTGATTTGGTACTGTCATCTTTGAATTTGGTGTAATTACTGTTTCATCTATCTATCTATCTATCTGTTTCTCTCTTCCTGTTTTTGTCTCTCTTACTGTTTTTTATATACTGTATATATATATGAAATCATTTAGTATTTTAATTTCAATTTAAAAGGTGTTTTCTGACCAGTGCACAGCCCTGCTGGATAGGCCTAATAATGTTATGAAACAGATACATGTGTATTGTTATTTGTGTATTGTTATGTGCAGTGTTAGGGATAAGGCAATACAAGTAACGAGAGTTACGTAATCAGATTACTTTTTTTCCAAGTAACTAGTAATGCATTGCTTTAAAATTTACAATGAAATATCTGAGTTACGTTTTCAACGAGTAACGCCATTTACTTTGTTCTCTCATGTACTGACTGACGGCTGTCCTGTCCTCATGTTGAGAGAAATCTGGAGTAAGTGCAGAAACAGAGGCATTTCCTTCAGCCTGAGGCTTATTCATTTCACTTTCGGTGTGGAAGGGCTTTCACGGTTGCCAAACAGAGAACTTCTGGGTTTTTTGTTATTAAGCAAGCCCAGCTCGTACAAAAAGTAATCCATACAATTTACACAATTGGTTACTATTTCATGGAGTGACAAAATGCATTACCTTAAAAGTAACATTCCCCGTTACTGGTTATGTGTATTGTTATTTGTGTATTCTTATGTTGGGTCCATCTTGTTTTTCTCTTTATAATGTAGGCTGACTACAACTCTGAACCACAAGCGCCTGGCAAACTCAACCAAGTTCAGGATCAAGTCAATGATGTTAAAGTCATTCTCAAAGACAACATCAACAAAGTCCTGGAGAGAGGAGAGCGGTTAGACGACCTGATCGGCAAAACAGACGATCTGCAGGCCACGGTGAGCCTTTGAGACCCGTCAAGGTCAAAACTGAGACCAATATGTAGCATTTCTTGACCATGCTGATCTCTGTAAGACCTCAAAAAGGCATTTAGTGAAACTAACATGGTGCCAGATGATCAAACCAGTCACAAAACATTCTTTTTCATTTTTGTTAATGATAACGATTGATTATTTGTGTAATTATCTTGCCTAGGCTGACTCGTTTCAAAGGACGTCCACGCGTGTTGCCAGAAAGATGTGGTGGAGAAACACCAAGATGATGATTATAATTGGTGTGGTAGTGCTTGCCATCATCATTTTAATCATCCTGTTGGCAACAAAAGTCATTCCCACCTAATACAACCCATTTTATTACAATACAAGTACACTAAGCATTAATGACTTTTTTACTATGAAAGAAACTGGATGCATTTATGCATAGGTAATTTTTGACATTTCCTGTAAAATTCTATATAAATCTGGGGCGAATATGTCAGGGGTGTATGCATATGCATTATGTGGTTTTTACTTGTTTAGGCTGTTATCCTAATATAATGGGACTGAAAGCAACAGAATTCATTGTAAGTGAAAAATGTTTCAGGATGTCTTGCTTTGAGACTAACTGCTGTGCTTGACACATTCACATTCCAAAGACCTCAAAAACCATTTCAATCCTAATTACATTTCATTACACACCTGCATACCTTCATTACGGCACTAAAGCGGTGAATATGACAGTGCCTCGTAGGATTCCTGGAACATTTCTCATGCTTTAACTTCTGTGAAATCACTCTGTGCTCGTGAAACTGATTTTATACCTTGACGAGGTCTAGTCTGGGCTGGGTTGAATTTAGAGTTTTTCTTGGTATCTTTACATTCAAACCCTTACAGTGTATCAGCCAGTAGCTGTCTTTGTCAAGAGGATGTATGGCCTGTATATTATGTTCTATGGGAAATACTGATTGATTGGCATCTACTTATTGTGTAAACAACTGCATGACAGAAGGAAGCCTTTAAAGGAACAGTTCACCCAAAAGTGAATTACTTTCCTACTGGAAACAATATAATGAGAGAATCTAGACTATCACACTCCAAAATGAGCACCATGTAAGTATAGTCCTTATTACTCAAATCGAAATGGTGTAGGATTTACTCTAAACAATTTACAATCAGAAATTTCTATTAAATTTCATGAATAATTAACATGTACAAACAAACATTGAATTTAACATGTAATTTTTAAGTAGAACGACCGAAATGTAATTTTATTGTAAAACGCAATCCAATAATGTTTAATTTACAAAATATAATGGTAACGCTTCACGTAAAGCCTTTAAGTATAATGCACTATAAATGTATTGATAATGTGCATTGCAATGCATTACATCTTTTCATAAACTATTGCAACCAAAGAGAAAATGCATTATTTGAAGGGTTTGTTGTGTTTTAAGCATTGCACTTTCTGAAGGTGAGACAATAAATAGAGAAGTATTATAACTGTGGTTACAATTATTCATGAGACCATGCTTGTACCATGCATCCAAGTTGCATTTCTAGGCAAAACTAATGCATTAAAACTACTTTTATAGTGCATTATAAATTGTGCTCGAACTCCAGTTTATTTCCTTTATAATGTCTGGGAAATCTAATTATGCTTTTTTTGTTATTTTAAAGCTGCTTTACTGGCGTTATATTGAAAACCGCAGCAATATTTCACATGAAGGAGAGTAAAAGATGCCAGTCTTCATTTTTGGGTGAGCTATGACTTTAATCTCTGCAGAAACAACAGGCGTAAAGGTTCATACACTTTATTTTGTTGTATTTTCCAATGGTTTACATGACTGTCGCAAAATACTGCCATATGAAATGAATATTAAATGGCCTACACTCTGTACGCACTTGTAAGCAATAAATTAATAGACCTGTATACAAATAATTTCTAAATGATTTGGGCTCTCTATAGTTCATTGCACTCAACGACACAGCAGGGAATACGATTATAAACGTACACAAGCTACAACAAATTACACACAAAAACAAATATTCTGGACGTTATAGTTCGAAATAACACTTGAAATATTCTTTAGCGTGTGTCCTTTAGATTTTAAATGAACTGGTGAATTAAATGGCGACCAAAGTGTAGTAACGTGTTGATCAACTCCATATTTAACAAGTCTGGCCCTCTTGTTCTCTCCTCTCAGGGTTGACTTGCGTTTCGCTCGTCCGTCTGAAAAACAAAGAAGAAAATAGCAATTACGCTTCAGAAGGACACAAACTCATAAAATGTACAGGAATCCCAATTCTTTAATAATTTCAATAAGGAGACAAGACATGACTTTGAAATCGAATAATAGCAAATACAATAGTGTTAAATTAAAAACTTGTGGAATCGTAACATTTAATGCGCAACCTTGAATCGATGGAAATTGAAAGACAAAAAGGAAAGCATAGCAAGCATAACAATATGACCTTTCCAAGACTTCAAAAGGTTAAAAAAGAGAATCCGTTAGATGAAATTAACACGGTGAAGCTTTTTCCACCGCTGTCAGTAGAAAATCACACAATACAAATATAAAAAAGCACTTCTCCAGCGCAGCGGCATCCAAGTACAAACCGGCTTTTAGCTCATGGACTACAGGATATTACAGCTACACGAGCTACAAGTAAAGAAAAGCAAGCATTACAGGTAAGATTAGATTAGAAGTGCATATTAACACTGGAAAGTCCAGAGAAAGCCGTATCCTTCAAAAAGTGAACAGTTAATTTTAATTCCGGCTCTCGTCTCATAGTTTACCATTACTTGATGGTGCCTGGAAAAAATGCCATTACATTATAATATATTATTACATAAGACCAATCCCAAGACGTTTTAAGAGGAACATTTGAATACAAAAAAAACGAATAAAAATACACACAAAACAAAAACAGAAGATAAAAGCTTGACGTGTCCTTTTTATGTTTTTGTTGCTGTAGTTGTTTTTACAATTCGTATACAGGATGTTGGAAGACCATACCAAATGGGAGCATTCGAGAGCGTACGCCTCTCGTACCCTGTCCGCATTGAGCGGGCCTGAGACAATCGGGAAGTCAGCTCATGGCCTGCAAGGAAGTCCCCGCTGGCAGGTACAAACAAGGTATATGTCAGAGTTAGGAGACAACATTCTTCGGCTTTCTTTCCTTGTAATTCCTTATTTTCTGGTACCCATTTAGCAGTACTGTACCTGTTAATTTTTACAGTTAAAAACAAAACGGCAAGAAACAGCCAAAAGCCAGCTGTTACATTACTGCCAAAAGTCTCTATGTTACCACTACTGTAAAGCACTTCAGGGTGCTGTGAAACTTTAGAGAAAAACAAAAATTAAGCAACGTACATTACAATAAGATCAAATGGTGATTTAGAGACGCGTCGGCGTGAGCAACGCGCCAACATACCTGCACGTTTCCCGTTAATACGGCTTGTAACTGTTTTGATGGCCGCCTCGCCTCGGGGATTTGCTGTAGCCGCTCTGCTGATCTAGAGTTAGGAGCACAAAACACAAACAACGCAGACATCTACGGTTAAACGTGCTGGCACACGGGCGCTCGAGAAAGGCGGAAAACAGACAACAGCCTTAGCAATTTCGGGTTTTCGAGCCAATTTCGTGACACTTGCGAGATACTTACGTTAATCGTATTCAAACATTCTTTCAAAATACTGTATTGTGAAAATGTGGTGAGAGACACAGATCTGTGGCGTGAATGAATGTTTGAAAACTGTTTATTATTTTCTAAAAACGACCGCCGTCCGGCGGTCATTTCTTGCATGGCCTACAGATTTACACGTCCAATGGATTCAAAGGCACTTTGACAGATGTGTTTTGGAAGCTAAGACATCCCTTTCTATATTTAGCACCATAGTTATTATAATACATATGTACAGTATCGCTTTTTGCAAGCAAGCCTTCCCTGTAGGACAAAAAGCAACTGCAGCAGTGTTCTAGAGATTTCTCTCGAAGCGTAAGGCATGTATGATACAAGCATCAGATAATTTAGTGCACAACTGTCATAGTCCGGGTCGAGTACCGACAATCCACGATACAATATATCCTTAGTTTTTTCATCTGTGCGTTCACAAACAGTATTACATACTGCTGTAGTCACCATATCCGTAGTAGTTGTTGTAACCCGAGTAATCATAGCCCCCGTATCCACCATAGCCTTGATTGTTGTAGCCATAGTTCCCGTAATTTCCATAACCTTGATTCCAGTAATTTCCGTATCCCTGGTTCCAGTTCTGATTGGGACCTGCAACAGACGCCGAAAGCACATCACCGTTAATAACATGTGTCATTAACCTAAGTGGACTGAGGTATCAAAACAAAAAAAATTCAGAATTTATGAACATAATAATGCAAAAAAATGGCTGTGTCACGCAGCATACGCTGTTTACGTCCAGCGGATATTCTCCAAAATGGCGCTACAGGGTAAGGCAGGGAGGTGACGAATTGTTGAATAGTCGTTATTTTTTTCTTTTGCACACAAAAAGTATTCTCGTAGCTTCGTATAATTGCGGATGAACCACTGATGTCACATGGATTATATTACAGCTCTCTTGCTAGGTTTCTGGACTTGGGAACATTTCAGTTGCGTTGCTGTCTATGGGAGGGTCAGACAGCTCTCAGATTCCACCAGAAATATCTTAATTTGTGTTCCGAAGATGAACGAAGGTCTTACGGGTTTGAAACGACTTGACGGTGAGTAATTAATGACAGAATTTTCATTTTTGGGTGAACTAACCCTTTAAAGAAATTCCAACTGTACAAAGCAATTCCCAGAAATATTAAAAATGATCAAAATGCCAAGTACAGAATTCTTAATTGTATTTAATGAATTATTGTTCATTTCATGGATCACATTTGAAGAGCACTTCATGCACCCGTTTATTCAGTATATAACTATTTAAAAAGATGTTTTGATATTTCTATAAATTTATCCTGAATTGGTGTACATTCTGTGGTGCTCAACAGTGAAGTTAACGGATGTGTTTATTGACCTCAGTGTAATTAATCTAGAAAAATATGGTTCAGATGATTAGAAGAATCTAATCACTTGAGAAAAAACATTTATCCATCACATCAGAGTAGAAGTAGTCCAAATTAATCATACAAGTGTTTTGTTCGCTAAATTTGGAATTTCTTTGAATTGCAATTCCGTAAATTCCTTTTTCAAGTCAACATTCCAAATTCCAACTCAGCAATTCTAACATTCTGTTTTTGCCCCACTCTATCAAAGGGTTAATGTGGTGTTATTTCGTGTGCTGTATTTTCCTGCATGCCGCACCTCCTCTGCCCCTGGCTCTGCCGGCGTATCCTCCTCTTCCGCCCCACTGCTGCTGCTGCTGGTACTGCTCCTTTGACATGGCCACCTTGACCTCGCACTGCAGACACAATGACAGGGTCCACATGACTATCAGAACGACAACAACATTCACCGTCAAAGCTGTCAGGAGCATTTCACCCACAAATAAACATTGTGGGTCAATATAAAGCCTGACTACTGATTCTCAGTTCTCACATCACAGAAAAAACCATGCAAATAAAATGAAGTACCTTTTATTTAACTGCATTTCCACATGCTAATTTAGCAAACAAGTGATTTTTGGCAAAAAAAGATTGCGATATGTACCATTAAAGTGATATAAAGCTGTGGCCTAAGAAAGAGTTGTAGGGATTTAACTAAAACAAGGGGGAAATATCACTAAAACGTTTTTCCAGCATGTCATGTGCAGGTCTCCATAGGTTTTAATACATTTGTACAAAAAAGCAATTTCCTCACATTGTCTTCATGAGGTTTTATAAGTCTATAATACAAAGATCTTTGACAATATTTCACCAGAAACTGTTTTTGTTTTAAAATAATGAAGGTATATAACATTTAGGATTTATGTCAGATGGCAGGATCATGCAGATTAGGATCATTTTAAGACCGTACCTTGCTTAAACCGATGTTGTGGTACTTCTTCTCCATTATTTTCTTTACTGGCTCCTCCTCTTTAAATGTTATAAAACAAAAACCTCGTCTTTTATTTGTTTTATTCTCCATTGGCAGCTCAATGGACTCCACCTGAAGAAAGTATAGAAATGTAAATCATGTGGTGTTTTGTCACATATATATATATATATATATATTACAAACGTCTATCAGCTTTACACTTTCTCTATACCTCTCCGCAGGCGTCAAAGTACTCTCTGATCTTCTCCTCTGGAGTATCTGGGGAAAGACCTCCTACAAATATCTTCTTCACAGGCTCTTTGGACTTCATGGCCTTCGCTTTCTTAGGGTCGATTGCTTTTCCATTCAGTTTGTGCTCCTTCTGTGAGATCACCTTTGACGAGGAACAGACACGCATCGAGATTTGATTTAATCGGTCACAGCTGCCTCAAAACTCAAATGGCATAATTCTAACAGATTTATAAATACACACACAAATATCTATGTGCCCAAATACCTTTTCCACACTCCCAGCCTCTTTAAACAGAACAAACCCAAATCCCCTGGACCGGCCTGTCAGAGGATCCAGCTTTAAGGTGCAGTCGACCACCTCTCCAAATTTAGAGAAGTAGTCTTTCAGGTCTTTCTTTGTTGTGTCCCAACTCAAGCCTCCGACGAACAATTTCCTAAAAACCAAAAAGACTGATGTTACAGCAGATTGTGGGGGGAAGACATTACAGTGATTTATATCGGCTGAAAACCCTTATAGGTCAAGTACTACATAACAAAAGACAAACGATAACAGGGTTTCTGCACCTGTTCCTTTATGAAGGAAAATTATAAGACCGCTTAAAGAAAATTTAGGGGAAAATATTAAACGGAATACGCCAATATGTTCTCTCAATGTAAGTGTCTAACGAGAACACAGTGAGCACAATTTACAACCAATCTCCATTACTTTTTAATTAATAATACCAAAACAAAAAGCTTAACTACTAGAAAATGGAAACATCTTTTACTGTCCTTCCAAGTATTTTTGTCAGTGAAAATGTCTAAATACAAGATGCTAAAGGATGTATAAGTAAATTTATCAAAACGAAGTGAATTTATAGTTTAAAAATGACAAATACCTGCTATTAGGCTCAGAGAAAGCAACTTAGTTAAAAGCGAAAACAAGTTTTTATTCCCCACTGACAGATAGCCTTTGTTTTAAAAAAAAAAAAACCACTTATATCTTAAGTTTGCATTTGAAGTAAATATATCTTGTTTTAACAATATTTTGCAAAGCGACAAAAATACTGACCAAGATGTTCATTTTTGCATTACATGGAACGTTTAATGCCACGATTTTGTGTTTTTGATACAATTTAAACCTATTAGGCCTTCATGTGTAAATGAAAATTAAGACTTTAAGACCTACATTAAAGGGGTCATATGATGCTATTTCAAGTTTTCCTTTCTCTTTGGACTGTTACAAGCTCTTGGTGCATAAAGAAGATCTGTAAAGTTGCAAAGACTAAAGTCTCAAATCCAAAGAGATATTCTTTATAAAAGTTAAGAGTCAGCCACGCCTACCTAAAACGGCTCGTTCTAACACGCCCCCACATATCTACGTCACTATGTGGGAAGATTTGCATAACGCCTCCCAAATGTTCACGCAAAGAAAGAAGGCATAACTATAAAGGACAGTCCGGCGCTTCTGACTCACAGAGTGTAAGTACGTTTTTTATATTTAAAGGATTTGCCACTGATGATTCAAACGCGAGTTTTGGGCAGTGTAGAGTAGCGCTTGTTGTTTGTCATTTCTCCGATCACAATGCAGGCATGGTTTTACATTTACGTGAACCTTAAACCACAAACACATTTCATTACACCAAATACACAAAATAATGTTCTTTTTAGCAACGTA